GTGGGCTGGACATTGTGTGGGGGACTATGATACGTGGTGTGCTGTGGTAGGTGGGTTGGACGTGTGTGGGGGGCTATGATACGTGGTGTGCTGGTGGGTGGCTGGACGTGTGTAGGGGGCTATGATGCCTTGGTACTGGTAGGTGGGCTGGACGTGTGTGGGGGGCTATGATACGTGGTGCTACAGTAGGTGGAGCTTGACGTGTGTGTTGGGGAGGGCTAGCATTACGTGATGCTGGTAGGTGGGCTGGACGTGTGTGGGGGCTTTGATACGTGGTGCTGGTAGGTGGGCTAGACGTGTGGGAGGCTATGATACGTGGTGCTGGTAGGTGGGCTTGACGTGTGTTGGGGAGGGGGCTATGATACGTGGTGCTGGTAGGTGGGGCTACAGACGTGTGTGTGGGGGCTTTGATACATTAGTGCTGGTAGGTGGGAAGCTAGACGTGTGGGGGCTATGATACATGAATTGCTGGTAGGTGGGCTGTGGACGTGTGTAGGGGGGCTATGACACGTTGTGCTGGTGGAGTGGAGCTGGACACGTGTGGGGGGCTATGATACGTGGTGCTGTGGTAGGTGGGCTGGACGTGTGTGGGGGCTATGATACGTGGGTGCTGGTAGGTGGGCTGGACGTGTGTGGGGGCTATGATACGTGGTGCTGGTAGGTGGGCTGTGGACGTGTGGTGGGGCTGGGTACGGTGCTGGTGGGTGGGCTGGACGTGTGTGGTGGGGAGCTATGATACGTGGTGCTGGTGGGTGGGCTGGAAGGGCATTGTGTGGGGGCTATGATGTGGTGCTGGTAGGTGGGCTGGACGTGTGGGAGGGAGAAGCACGGTGCGTGGTGCTGGTAGGTGGGCTGGACGTGTGGGGAGCTATGATCATTAGTGCTGGTAGGTGGGCTGGACGTGTGTGGGGCTATGACACGTTGTGCTGGTAGGTGGAGCTGGACGTGTGTGGGGAGCTATGGTCACGTGGTGCTGGTACAGGTGCTGGGCTGGACGTGTGGGGGGCTATGATACGTGGTGTTAGCTGGTAGGTGGGCTGGACGTGTGGGGCTGCACTTGTTGAGGTGCTGGTAGGTGGGCTGGACGTGTGTGTGGGGAGCTATGATGCGTGGTCCTGGTAAGGTGGGCTGGACGTGTGTGGGGGCTATGATGATACGTGGTGCTGGTAGGTGGGAAGTGGATGTGTGGGGGCTATGATACGTGGTGCTGGTAGGTGGGCTGGACGTGTGTGGGGGGCTATGATACGTGAGGCTGTTGTGCAGAGTGGAAGCACTTGACGTGTGTTGTTGGGGGAGGGCTATGATACGTGGTCCTCATGTAGGTGGAAGCTGGACGTGTGTGGGGGCTATGATACGTGGTGCTGGTAGGTGGGCTGGACGTGTGTGGGGGGCTATGATGCGTGGTGCTGGTAGGTGAGCTGGACGTGTGTGGGGGCTATGATGCGTGTGGTGCTGGTAGGTGGGCTGGACGTGTGTGGGGAGCTATATGAGTACGTGGTGCTGGTAGGTGGGCAGGACGTGTGTGGGGAGCTATGATACGTGGTGCTGGTAGTTGGGCTGGACGTGTGTGGGGGCTATGATACGTGGTGCTGGTAGGTGAGCGGACGTGTGGGGGCTATGATACGTGGGTCATGGTAGTTGGAAGCGGCGCGTGTGGGGGCTATGATACGTGGTGCTGGTATGTGGGCTGGACGTGTTTGGGGGCTATGATACGTAGTGCTGGTAGGTGGGCTGGACGTGTGTAGGGGCTATATTACGTGGTGCTGGTAGGTAGGCTGGACGTGTGTGGGGGGCTATGATACGTAGTGCTGGTAGGTGGACTGGACGTGTGTGGGGAAGCTATGACACGTGGTGTGCTTGGTAGTGGGAAGCGACGTGTGTTGGGGAGGGCTATGATACATGGTCCTGGTAGGTGGAGGCTGGACGTGTGTGGGGGCTATGATACGTGGTGCTGGTAGGTGGGCTGGACGTGTGTGGGGGGCTATGATGCACGTAGTGCTGGTAGGTGGGCTGGACGTGTGTGGGGGCTTTGATACGTGGTGCTGGTAGGTGGGCTGGACGTGTGTGGGGAGAAACTTTGATACGTGGGTCACAAAGTGGGTGGGCTGGACGTGTGTGGGGGCTTTGATGCGTGGTGCTGGTAGGTGGGCTGGGACGTGTGGGGGCTGCGAGCCTGGGTGCTGCTCGGTGGGCTGGACGTGTGTGGGGGAGCTACCGCACGTTGTGCTCATGTAGGTGGGCTGGTGTGTGTGTGGGGGCTATGACGCGTGGTGCTGGTAGCAGGGTGGGCTGGACGTGTGTGGGGGCTATGATTTCGTGGTGCTGGTAGGTGGGCTGGACGTGTGGGGAGCAATGATACGTGGTGCTGGTAGGTGGGGCTGGACGTGTGGGGGCTATGATTCGTGGTGCTGGTAGGTGGAGGCTGGACGTGTGGGGGGGCTATGATACGTGGTGCTGGTAGGTGGAGGCTGGACGTGTGGTGGGGGCTATGATACGTGGTGTGCTGGTAGGTGGGCTGGACATGTGAGGTGGGGCTATGATGCGTGGGTCTGGTAGGTGGAGAGCGGCGTGTGTGGGGGCTATGATACGTGGTGCTGGTAAGGTGGGCTGGACGTGTGGGGAGCTATATGATACGTGGTGCTGGTAGGTGCAGGCTGGACGTGTGGGGGAGCTATGATGGCTGGTGCTGGTAGGTGGGGTGGACGTGTGTGGGGGCTATGATACGTGGTGCTGGTAGGTGGGCTGGACGTGTGGGGGCTATGATACGTGGTGCTGGTAGGTGGGCTGGACGTGTGTGGGGGCTATGATGCATGGTGCTGGTAGGTGGGCTGGACGTGTGTGGGGGCTATGACGTGGTGCTGGTGGGTGGGCTGGACGTGTGGGGTGCTATGATACGTGGTGCTGGTAGGTGGGCTTGACGGCATTATTGGGGGCTATGATACATTGGATGTCCTGGTAGGTGGGCTGGACGTGTGTGGGGAAGCTATGATTACGTGGTGCTGGTAGGTGGGCTGGCGGACGTGTGTGGGGGGAGGAGGCTATGACACGTGGGTGGTTGAGGTAGGTGGGCTGGACGTGTGTGGGGGGCTATGATGCATTGGTGCTGGTAGGTCGGCAGGCGGTGGGGAGGGGCTATGATGCGTGGTGCTGGTAGGTGGGCTGGACGTGTGGGGGCTGTATTACGTGGAACTGGTAGGTGCAGGCTGGACGTGTGTGGGGGCTATGATGCGTGGTGTTAGCACGGTAGGGTGGGCTGGACGTGTATGGGGGCCTATGATACGTGGTAGGTGGAGCTTGACGTGTGTAGGGGGCTATGATACGTGGTGCTGGTAGGTGGGCTGGACATTGGCTGGGGGCTATGATACGTGGTGCTGGTAGGTGCTGGACGTGTGTAGGGGCTATGATACGTGGTGCTGGTAGGTGGAGCTGGACGTGTATGGGGGCTATGATACGTGGTGCTGGTGGGGTGGGCTTGAGAAAGGCATTGTGTTGGGAGGGCATGATACATGGTCCTGGTAGGTGGAGCTGGACGTGTATGGGGAGCTATGATCACGTGGTCCTGGTAGGTGGGTTTGACACGTGTGTTGGGAGGGGCTATGATACGTGGTCTGGTAGGTGGGCTGGCGTGTGGTGAGGCTATGATACGTGGTGCTGGTAGGTGGGCTTGACGTGTGTTGGGAGGGCTGGTAGGTGGGCTGCAGAGGTGTGTGGGGGTGACGGGATCAATATGTCAATAGTCAATGTTTATCGGCAACTGGTGGTGAGGTGGTTACGATTATCGGCTCTCAGCATCAACGGCACAAAGGTCACACATGACAGCACACGTGGAATAGCTTTTAAAGACTGTCCCGAACAGATGAAAATGAAAAAATGAAACAAGAACATAATAACGAACTAGAAATCTGTTTTACTCCTAAATTCAGTTAAGGCGTTTATCATGATGCGAGTATTAGCTACAAACATACGTGTGTTATTGGGGTACTATACTATACGTCGCTCCTTTAATAAATAAAATATCATTGTTTACTTTCAATTTCTCTTTTTTTTTCTTTCATTTTATGATTTATTCGACTTACCCTGTGTATCACAAAAGGCCCCAGAGACATGTATAGACACACTGTTGTAACTCCCATAACTTATAACTGTTGTTGGACTGGTGTAATAACTACCCCTTGCTATACCTTAGTTATTGAGGTACATAACGTCAATGATAGGTGTTCCTGTGCAGATGATCCCCGCCACGCCCTGGAGATAGATAGATAGATAGATAGATAGATAGATATAGAGATAGAGATAGATAGATAGATAGATAGATAGATAGAAGAACGATATTAAAACGTAAAAATCAAACTCGTTGAAAAATACAATTTTTTGCTGCATAAAGAAAAAATAAAACAAAAATATTTTAAACTTTTACAATTTTGCAAAAAATTTTTGCTGCAAAATAACAAGTCAGCTTAATGAAACACACACACACACACACACACACACACACACACACACACACACACACACACACACACACACACACACACACACACACACACACACACACACACACACACACTCCATCTGAGGGAACTGCTACACTACGTCAGGTCCCTCAACAACACCATCTGGGGGGTATTACATTGCGTTTGCTGTTCATCACCTACTTTAATCTGTATATTCACTGTATGTTTCCTACCTTTCTCTAATGAAAGCTTTTGTTAAACCACCAATATGTAATAGGTCATTTATGTTCAATGTATATTTTCAACAGGCAGCAGAACTTTTCAATAAACCGTTAATTATTATTATTATTATTATTATTATTATTGTTATTATTATTATTATTATTATTATTATTATTATTACACACACACACACACACACACCACACACACACACACACGCACACACACATACATGAATACGATCAATTTGTGTCGTTATCGTGTTTAAATTGGTTCCTCAGTATAACACTGTCTCCCCTCGACCATGTACCTTAAAGTCTGTCAGTATAACAGTCTTCCTCCACAGCCAACACGACACTAACCCGTACTTGGCGGTGCACCTACAGTCTCTGGGGTTCGGGGCGGACAAGGCCGGGGTGTTGCTGGCCATCACGCCCCTCCTGGCCATCATGGGGCCGCCCATAGCAGGAGCCGTGGCCGATAAGCTGGGCAACTTTAAGGTGAGTTCTTCGTAAACCTTTCCCAGCCTCCTTCACCACCCAACTACTGTACTGTCGTTAGTCTCTTGTTTCTTCCACGATACATCTCTCTATTTCATGGCCCATCACTGTTCCATGGTCCATGTTTCTGTTCCATGGTCCATGTTTCTGTTCCATGGTCCATGTTTCTGTTCCATGATCCATGTTTCTGTTCCATGGTCCATGTTTCTGTTCCATGGTCCATGTTTCTGTTCCATGGTCCATGTTTCTGTTCCATGATCCATCATTGTTCCATGGTCCATGTTTCTGTTCCATGATCCATCATTGTTCCATGGTCCATGTTTCTGTTCCATGGTCCATCACTGTTCCATGGTCCATATTTCTGTTCCATAGTCCATGTTTCTGTTCCTAGTCCATGTTTCTGTTCCATGGTTCATGTTTTGTTCCATGGTCCATGTTTCTGTTCCATGGTCCATCACTGTTCATGGTCCATCACTTCCATGGTCTACCACTGTCCATGGTCTACCATGTTCCATGGTTCATCACTGTTCATGGTCCATCACTGTTCCATGGTCCATCACTGTTCCATGGTCCATCACTGTTCCATGGTATACTGTTCCATGGTCCATCACTGTCCCATGGTCTACCACTGTTCCATGGTCCATCACTGTTCCATGGTCCATCACTGTTCCATGGTCCATCACTGTTCCATGGTCCATCACTGTTCCATGGTCCATCACTGTTCCATGGTCCTCCACTTTTCCATAGCCATCACTTCATGGTCTACCACTGTCCATGGTCTACCACTGTTCCATAGTTCATCACCTGCATCACTGTTCATGGTTCATCACTGTTCCATGGTCCATCACTGTTCCATGGTTCATACTGATCCATGGTCCATCACATTCCATGGTCCATCACTGTCCCATGGTCATCACTGTCCCATGGTCTACCACTGTTCCATGGTTCATCACTGTTCCATGGTCCATCACTGTTCCATGGTTCATCACTGTTCCATGGTTCATCACTGTTCCTGGTTCATCACTGTTCCATGGTCCATCACTGTTCCATGGTTCATCACTGTTCCATGGTCCATCACTGTCCCATGGTCCATCACTGTTCCATGGTCCATCACTGTTCCATGGTTCATCACTGTTCCATGGTTCATCACTGTTCCATGGTCCATCACTGTTCCATGGTTCATCCTGTTCCATGGTCCATCACTGTCCCATGGTCCATCACTGTTCCATGGTCCATCACTCCATGGTCCATCACTGTCCATAGTCTACCACTGTTCCATAGTCATCCTGTTCCATGGTCATCCTGTTCCATGTCCATCACGTTCCATGGTCCATCACTGTTCATGGTCCATCACTGTTCCATGGTCACCCTTCCATGGTCTCCACTCCCATGGTCTACCACTGTTCCATGGTCCATCCTGTTCCATGGTCCATCACTGTTCCATGGTCCATCACTGTTCCATGGTCCATCACTGTTCCATGGTCCATCACTTCCTGGTCTACCACTGTCCATAGTCCTACCACTGTTCCATGGTCCATCACTGTTCCATGGTCCATCACTGTTCCATGGTCCATCACTGTTCCATGGTCCATCACTGTTCCATGGTCCATCACTTTGTTCCATCACTTCCATAGTCCATCACTGTCCCATGGTCTACCTGTTCCATGGTCCATCACTGTTCCATGGTCCATCCTGTTCCATGGTCCATCACTGTTCCATGGTCATCACTTTCCATGGTCATCCTGTTCATGGTCCATCACTGTTCCATGGTCCATCACTGTTCATAGTCCATCACTGTCCCAGTCCATCACTTCCATGGTCATCACTGTCCATGGTCCATCACTGTTCCGTGGTTCATCACTGTTCCATGGTCTACCACTGTTCATGGTCCATCACTGTTCCATGGTCCATCACTGTTCCATGGTCCATCACTGTTCCATGGTCCATCCTGTTCCATGGTCCATCACTGTTCCATAGTTCATCACTGTTCCATGGTTCATCACTGTTCCATGGTTCATCACTGTTCCATGGTCCATCACTGTTCCATGGTTCATCACTTTTCCATGGTCCATCACTGTCCATGGTCCATCACTGTTCCATGGTCCATCACTGTTCATGGTTCATCTGTTCCATGGTTCATCACTGTTCCATGGTCCATCCTGTTCCATGGTTCATCACTGTTCCATGGTCCATCACTGTCCATGGTCCATCACTGTTCCATGGTCTACCACTGTCCCATGGTCTACTGTTCCATGGTTCATCACTGTTCCATGGTCCATCACTGTTCCATGGTTCATCACTGTCCCATGGTCTACCACTGTTCCATGGTCCATCACTGTTCCATGGTCCATCACTCCATGGTCCATCACTGTCCATGGTCCATCACTGTTCATAAGTCTACCACTGTCCATGGTCTCCACTGTTCCATGGTTATCCTGTTCCATGGTCCATCCTATTCATGGTTCATCACTTCATGGTCTCCACTGTTCCATGGTTCATCACTGTTCCATGGTCCATCACTGTTCCATGGTCCATCACTTTCCATGGTCCATCACTGTTCCATGGTCCATCACTGTTTCCATGGTCCATCATGTTCCATGGTCCATCCTGTTCCATGGTCATCACTGTTCCATGGTCCATCACTTTCCGTTCCATGGTCCATCACTGTTTAAGCGTCACTGTGGTCATCATAGCTGTCCCGTAGTTGAGTGGTACAGAAAATGTTAGTGTGGTTATCGTCGACATGCAAGGCTCTCAGACTCCGGGTCTACCTTGTCCTGGCCTCAGGGACATTACTGGGGAAAACATGAGCGGCGGATCATCATCTCTGAGGTCGAAATTACCGAACAAAAACAATGGCGTGAGTCAGCCAGATCATCCCGCCCCTCCCGGACAAACTTACAACTACCAGACTCAGGTGAAGGGAGATAAAGGGGTGGACATAGCGTCTGTTTTACCATGATAAGATCTTTGGTCACCTGCTCGAGCTCAAAGTCTGCAGTAAGCTTCCCACAACCTACAGGTTCATCATCAGCGTCTGTGTCACGAACTTTGCTACTGGGTCACTAAAAGAGCAGTTGAACTCTGACCTGGGAGGTGGTAATGACTGCCACCCCCAAGGAGGACCAGCTGATCCTGCCTGGAGACTTCAATGCCAAGGTTGACAAGAATCAGTCTTCAGGGCAGCGCCGTTTGAAAGGCGAGGACAAGGCAACACTCCATGGCGAGTTACTAAACTAAACTAAACTGGCCTAAACAAACCACCTGACAGACAACATCTTCCGTCCACCAACCTTTCAAAGACGGATCATGGGTTAACACAGGTGCTAACAGTATGTGCTGGGCGAACACTTATATACAAAGTGGGCTCATGTGTCTAGCTACGACATGTTACCGGACTCAAGGGCTCCTTGATGCGAAGTCTGTGAAGTAATCTGTTAACTTTTATGCCGGGCAAACGAACGATGAGTGTGAGGTTGCATATGCTGGTGGGGAGCTTGGCGCCGCCCTCGCCAGGGTGGTCTACGCTTCCCTGGAAGACGGAAGTCACCTAACATCGTTAGACTATAGGCGCGTGCCAGGCAATCCAATGTTGATGACCTTACCAATATGGGCGATCTGCCAAAAGGGGAGCCAACTACCCACATCATGGACCCAACAGTATTGTGACACCAATACGAAACCAGAGGACAGCCTGATGCTGGCCCTTATCACTAACCAGCTGCCTGTGTAAAACCTTTGAGAGGATAGTTCTTGACGAGCTCTATATAGAATCAGAGAGAACACATGTCTCCTAACATAAGTAAGCTTCACCCATGGTAAGGTGTTATAATTGCATCACCACATTCTAACTGTGCTGTGGGGTGATGAAAGGCAGAATACACCACATTTCTCTGCCTAAGCTGCATTGATATTTGTGACAGAGCAACTGATATTATTATACGAACTAGCCAAGGATATGGGAGGTGGCTGTTACACTGGATAAGTGGTTACCTAACCCAACAGAAGGGCTGCTGCACACTGTTTTCAGGGCTAAAAATGAAGTGTGAATATGCAACTTGTGGTACTCAAGATTGGAGTGCTTATTTCCTTTGTTCAAATGTTCTTATGAATGCATTATTAATTTAATGAACAACCCAAGCAATATCTCAATCAACTTCTTCTTTGATGATATTCTTATACATACTAAAACTCATCGTGAAATGCAAACCACCTATGAACCGCTTCCTTCACGCAGCCTCTTAGGAACCTCAGTGTATTTTCTCCCACTGAAAAAAACTTGGGCGTTCAACAAAACAAGCTGATAACCACCGCAAACGCGGCCCCGCCAAGTTCAAAGAAAGGGCAACAACACTGTAACTATATTTCTTCTTTTAAATATCTTGGTGTTTCCGTCCTTATGCCTACCTGCCATACAACCTTCTTCGCCAATGTGCTGACAGACTGAGACCTCTTAGAAGTGTGTGAGGTGCAGCCCGCCACTATGGTGCTAATGTTAGAATTGTTAAAACAATGTGCAAGGCCTCTCTCACAGATCTCTGATAGATTACCACACACCAGCCCTGTCATTCTGTGGCCAAGGAAGGCGTTAATAAGCTCGAGAAAGAAATGCAAGAAATCAAGCCCTCCAAATTGTCCTAGGATGTCCCACTGAGCACTAAAGTACTAAATGAGGAAAGGCTTCATTATACCCAGTGTTAAAGATAGAATGGTGAAAGTCAACCTCATGACAGTAGCCCTGGGGCTTCCTGCGTAGTGATCCTGATAACATTGTTTCCTTAAAATTGCTAAGTCTCTGAACCATGGGACTGGTAGGTTGAAATAGATCAAACTACAGCTATAAGTACACATATGAATGTTTGGACTGAACCACCTGTGAAGTTGAGACACAACAGCGCTTCCTGCCACCTGGCGGACAGTTCCTTCGATATCCTGACCCGAACATATCCGCCTAAAAAATTAATTATACAAGTATTTATCTCCAACACACTGCTGCCAAATTAGAGCTCTTGAACACATATTACACACTCTACGGACTGTTGATAATATCCACACACAGACCATCTCTGGTGGTCTCTAAACACCACCGCCTGTGGGAGGCTGGAAGTGCTTTATTATTTGTGACTCAACCTGACGGTAATATAATAATTGGCCAAGGGTTGAGTGCCAAGCTTGGGCATCCACTCCCTGAAACTGAATTAGTTGCCATACTCGGCTAGTAAATTCATTGAAACCACTGTTACTGACAGTCTCATCATCACTGACTCTCTATCCTCCTGCTTGCCCGCCAGCACCTCGACTCGCAGGTTGTCACGCTTTCTTGTCTCTAAGCCAGACCACAAATATGCGTGCCTTGATGACCGGGGTGTCAAAGATCAAACTATTAATGGATCTCATAGGCCTCATAAAACGCAGCAGAGTTGATGCCCTCGCCAAACTCGCGTCTAACAAGACACCAAATTGAATACAATTTGGGTCTGTCAAAAAGAACCATAAAACTGCCAATTAGGAAGAACTTGACCCAGTGGGTTTTGACGCAAATGAATTAGTGCAAGCGGCACCTAGTCGATCCATAGTTTACCATGATGCGGTCTTATCAGTGAAACATGTATGTGAGCAAGCCGACATATTAAGATTGTATCCACTTTTTGCACTCAGTAATTATATCACTTCTCGTGTACAGAACCAAATACACAATGTGCTTGAATACTTCTCACGTAAATGTGAATAACAAAGTGTGAGGCCAGACATACTGCCTCACACGCCTGTATTCACGCATTTGTGAATAAGTTACCCTTTATGTATAGAACTAAAAAAAATAATGTAATTGAAATACTGTGTAACATTCAGTGCCATAATATCCTGACCACGGGGTTAATTATTATGACCTGTAAACTCTACTCTGTAATCCTTGCTACCGCTCACAGGATGAGTGTGGGTGCACATAAAGTAGCCGCTTTAAGCGGCAAAATCAAAATCAATCACACCTTATCTCGCCCGCCAGCTGTTTCTTCTCTGGGGTGGTGGCTGTATCGGGGATGCTGTCACTCCTCCTGCTGGTGATTCCTGGGGTGCCCATCCTCCCGGCGTCGCTCTCACCCTCATCACCGACCACCACCAGTCTGAACTCCCCAATCGTCAAGGTCAGTCTCGTTAGGTTAGGTTAGGTTAGGTTGAGAGGTACACCCCTTGTGCACAGGATTCTTCTGATGAATACAATCGTCTGGGATTAGCCCAATAAAATGATAAAGGCAGCCCCGTAGTATGTGTGTTTTTGAGGAGAATTTGGTCTTAGGTCATGCTATAAAAAGAAACTTGTCAAGCAGGTGGAAGCAGAGGGGTGTTAAGTGTAACCATATTATAAGTCAATGGTGTTAGCAGGAATGGTGTTAACAGATAATGGTGTTAGCGGATAATGGTGTTAACAAGTAATGGTGTTAGCAGGTAATGTTGTTAACAGATAATGGTGTTAACAAGTAATGGTGTTAGCAGGTAATGGTTTTGACAGATAATGATGTTAAACTGTTGTGTTAAATATAATCATGATACCAGCGAAGTTAGTATCAGCCAAAGGTATATTAACTATTCCGGTACCTCAGTGATCCACAGACTGGCGGAGGTGCTACCGAAGGCTGAGACAGGTAACACTGTGGACGCCGAGTACCTCAGTTTATCGTCATCACCAACCAGACGGGTGTGATTTTACGACAGTACCAGACCTTTATGGACGGTATTAACGAGTACCTTCTCCTCCTGCAGGTCTTCTTGTACTCTTTACAAATGTTCCTTACTGTTACTTTATATACCTGTACAAACACTTCCCATGAGTAGTGTCCCCAGTCACGGCCTGTACCTGACGCCGCTATTACATACTTTTCTCTCCCCCAAAACTGCCTCAGTCTGAGTGTTGGGGAGTCAAGAGAGATGGAGGTCTGTGTAGTAGCCTCACCCTCATAGGAGAAGGTGAGGACTGTGAGAGAAGCAAGACAAAACAAAAAACAAAACAATGTGGAGATGTCAGACACAGCGAGGAGACGAACAAGAGGTGGTGCAAGGGACAGGGGAACACATCCGGGTGTTTCACTGTCAGAAGTGTATGTTCCTTCAGCCTGGAGGAGGAAGCGGGTACTGCTATCAAGAAGAGAAAATGTTTCAACAGCATAACTAAACGTGTCAAGTCCTTGTTTCAACAGTACTAACACGGTTTATTTAGACTTGTCAGTTTTAACAGTTACCTTCACGACCTGTTACTTTCCTCACCGTTATCTTCCTCACTGTTGTTATCTTCACCATCCGTTACTTTCCTTACCGTTATCTTCCTCACTGTTGTTACCTTCACCATCCGTTACTTTCCTCACCGTTGTTATCTTCATCACCGTTGTTATCTTCCTCACCGTTATTACTTTCTTCACCATCCGTTACTTTCCTCACCGATTATCTTCCTCACTGTTTTACCTTCACCATCCGTTACTTTCCTTACCGTTTTTATCTTCTCACCGTTGTTATCTTCCTCACCGTTGTTATCTTCCTCACCGTTGTTATCTTCCTCACCGTTATTACTTTCTTCACCATCCGTGACTCTCATCGTTATTATCTTCCTCACTGTTGTTACTCACCATCCGTTACTTTCCTTACCGTTGTTATCTTCCTCACCGTTGTTATCTTCTACACTGTTGTTATCTTCACCATCCGTTACTTTCCTCACCGTTGTTACTCTTCCTCACCGTTGTTATCTGTCACTGTTGTTATCTTCACCATCCGTTACTTTCCTCACCGTTGTTATCTTCCTCACCGTTGTTATCTTCACTGTTGTTATCTTCTCACCGTTGTTATCTTCGTTACTGTTGTTATCTTCACCGTCCGTTACTTTCCTCACCATTGTTATCTTCCTCACCGTCGTTATCTTCGTCACTGTTGTTATCTTCACCATCCGTTACTTTCCTCACCTTTTATCTTCCTCACCGTTGTTATCTTCCTCACTGTTGTTATCTTCCTCACCGTTGTTATCTTCCTCACTGTTGTTATCTTCACCATCCGTTACTTTCCTCAGTTGTTATCTTCCTCACCGTTGTTATCTTCACTGTTGTTATCTTCACCGTTATCTTCCTTACTGTTGTTATCTTCACCGTCGTTACTTTCCTCACCGTTGTTATCTTCCTCACCGTCGTTATCTTCTCACTGTTGTTATCTTCACCATCCGTTACTTTCCTCACCGTTGTTATCTTCCTCACCGTTGTTATCTTCCCTCACTTGTTATCTTCCTCACCGTTGTTATCTTCTCACTGTTGTTATCTTTCACCATCCGTTACTTTCCTCACCGTTGTTATCTTTCTCACTGTTGTTATCTTCACCATCTGTTACTTTCCTTACCGTTGTTATCTTCTTCACCGTTGTTATCTTCGTCACTGTTATTATCTTCACCATCTGTTACTTCTTACCGTTATTATCTTCCCACCGTTGTTATCTTCGTCACTGTTGTTATCACCGTCCGTTACTTTCTTCACCGTTGTTATCTTCTCACCGTTGTTATCTTCCTCACCGTTGTTCTCTTCATCACCGTTGTTATCTTCACCATCCGTTACTTTCCTCACCGTTGTTATCTTCACCATCTGTTGTTATCTTCACCATCTGTTGTTTTCACCGCTGTTATCTTCCTCACCGTTGTTCTTCTTCAGTTGTTATCTTCACCATCCGTTACTTTCTCACCGTTATCTTCTCACCGTTGTTATCTTCGTCACTGTTGTTATCTTCACCATCTGTTCCTTTCCTCACCGTTGTTATCTTCCTCACTGTTGTTACTTTCTTCACCATCCGTTACTTTCCTCACCGTTATCTTCCTCACCGTTGTTATCTTCGTCATTGTTATCTTCATCTCGTTACTTTCCTCACTGTTATCTCTCATTGTTGTTATCTTCACATCCGTTACTTTCCTCACCGTTGTTATCTTCCTCACTGTTGTTATCTTCACCATCCGTTACTTTCTCACCGTTGTTATCTTCGTCACTGTTGTTATCTTCATCATCTGTTACTTTCTTCACCATCCGTTACTTTCCTCACCGTTGTTATCTTCGTCACTGTTGTCTTCACCATCCGTTACTTTCCTCACCGTTGTTATCTTTCTCACTGTTGTTATCTTCACCATCCGTTACTTTCTCACCGTTGTTATCTTCCCACTGTTGTTATCTTCACCATCCGTTACTTCTCACCGTTGTTATCTTCCTCACCGTTGTTATCTTCCTCACTGTTGTTATCTTCACTATCCGTTACTTTCCTCACCGTTGTTATCTTCCTCACCGTTGTTATCTTCCTCACTGTTGTTATCTTCACCATCCGTTACTTTCTCACCGTTGTTATCTTCCTCACCGTTATCTTCCTCACCGTTGTTATCTTCCTCACCGTTGTTATCTTCCTCACTGTTGTTATCTTCACCATCCGTTACTTTCTCACCGTTGTTATCTTCCCCACCGTTAACTTCCTCACCGTTGTTATCTTCCTCACCGTTGTTATCTTCCCTCTTCACCTCAGATCAACATAGGGTCAGCAGCTCCCACAGCCTCGGTCAACATCACCAGCATCCTGAAGGCCAAGAACTTCTCCTGATGGCCGTCACCACCCACCACCCGCTCTTCTGTCCAGACAACGTTCCTCACGTCCACTCTCCAAGGCGCTGAGGACCTCCTGCCAGAGATCCTGGTGGACTACAACATGACTGGCCTCAACCGGACGGTGAACGGGAGTGGCCGAGACGAAGGAGGACATGTGGTGGAGGAAAGGGTGTGAGGTGGAGGTGCCGGGCCTGTGTGAGCCGAGCCACCAACTCTTCATCGGCGCCAGAGTCTCAGCTTCTGGACCCACTCTTCGCCCGCAGCATCTCAACGGCGCCCTCAATGCCGCCTTCGCTCTCTTCGAGGGCGCCACGCTCTCCTTACTTAAAAACACGGTGGAGACTACGGCTTACAGAGTAAGACTCTACCTGTGGCATAATGTTACTTCTGGATATTTTCACTAAGATCATGTTAATATGTGGAAAAAAAGGTCCCCACCCCCTGTGTTCGAAGCTGGCCGACCCTACAGCAGGGCCAGCCAGCAGTGAATTTGTTTAAGGTGTAGGCTGTCGCCAACAAGCAACCACAACCTTGGAGAATAGTCCAGAAGACCGGACAACTCCGCCAACTGCACTGGCAACCATTATGATCCCCAAACTGATTAACATCCAGGTTCCCAATTGCTAGACGGAGGCAAATGGAGTAAAGAAACTTGAGTTGGCCATAACACAATAATACTTTTGTGTTATTTAGATATAATTCAGTTATCACTGTGAAGGTGAAGAGTGACTCCTGGCTGCACCTGGTCCTGGTTCCTCCACTAATACAGCCTCTCCTCAACGGCCATGTGTGGGGTACATAGGCTGTATGGTGTCCACGCTTTCTCCGGTTGGCTCATCGACACCATGAGCTTCGACCAACTACCCTGATCACTGGTAAGTGGCTCCTCACTTCCCTATCTCCCAGCAGCTCACGCTATTCATCAGTGGTGGAGTGCCTGCTTATACTTGTTGCTCCTCCGTTCTTGCTCTTACCTCCAACCTGATAATGACCTGATCACTCTCTCCTCTCCCACCTCCTCCCTCCCTCCCTCCCCTCCTCCCTGTCTTCCCACCTCTCTCTCTCTGTCTCCCACCCTCTCTCTCTCTGTCTCCCTCCCTCTCCTCCAGTAGCAGACAGTTAACTTACAGATGACACACAAACTTTTATAAATATTTGTCCTGTCACCTTATGTGAGTCTAAAGTCTCCCAGGTGACCATGTGTGTGTGTGTGACTGTTCTGCTGTCTGTGTCTATGTTAGTTCAGGTTGTGATATCTTTGGCTTGGTAAGATTTCCCTTACTTATGTATTATTGTAATAGGTCAGTCAAGGAACAATAAGTTTGGATTATATTTTAACAACAGCAAGATGCTTCTTACAGCCTTCAATTTATCATTCAGTATCATCTCACCATTGTATCAGCCGTCAATGTCAATATCCTTGATCTTACATGGAAACTAATAAACTCTGAATCAATTTTTTAACATGACAACATGTCATGTGTGTGTGTGTGTGTGTGTGTGTGTGTGTGTGTGTGTGTGTGTGTGTGTGTGTGTGTGTGTGTGTGTGTGTGTGTGTGTGTGTGTGTGTGTGTGTGTGTGTGTGTGTGTGTGTGTGTGTGTGTGTGTGTGTGTGTGTGTGTGTGTGTGTGTGTGTGTGTGTGTGTGTGTGTGTGTGTGTGTGTGTGTGTGTGTGTGTGTGTGTGTGTGTGTGTGTGTGTGTGTGTGTGTGTGTGTGTGTGTGTGTGTGTGTGTGTGTGTGTGTGTGTGTGTGTGTGTGTGTGTGTGTGTGTGTGTGTGTGTGTGTGTGTGTGTGTGTGTGTGTGTGTGTGTGTGTGTGTGTGTGTGTGTGTGTGTGTGTGTGTGTGTGTGTGTGTGTGTGTGTGTGTGTGTGTGTGTATGTGTGTGTGTGTGTGTGTGTGTGTGTGTGTGTGTGTGTGTGTGTGTGTGTGTGTGTGTGTGTGTGTGTGTGTGTGTGTGTGTGTGTGTGTGTGTGTGTGTGTGTGTGTGTGTGTGTGTGTGTGTCTTTACATCAACACTATTCTTTCTGTTTTTGTTTACAGTCTTACAGCGGCCACACGTCAGCTCCCGGTACAGTACTACACACTGGTCTCACAGTTCTGCTTTATCATCGCAACACAAAAATAGTACAATCAAGAAGAATTATTATTGATGTCATGAACGACCACTCCCTGACCCCTCCTTACTCCCCCTGACCCTCACTTCCTCCTTACCCCTCACCCTCCTTACCTCCCCTTCCTTACGCCCACCCCTCACTTTGTTCCACCTTCCTCTTACTCCCCCGACCCTCACCCCAACCTCCACACCATCACCTCACCCCCCGCCCTTGTATCTCCATCTATCTAGTTCCCTCCCATCACCATCTCTCTCACTTGTCTCACTTCTCTCACCTGAAACTCTCTACCCTCTCACGCCTTTCCATTTACATACAAATTAAAAACTCCTTCAAAAATTTATATCACCAATTTTTTATTACATACGTGAATAAATTAGACATTTTTCATCTGTGTTACTCACCCTGTAGTGAACCAGTCCCCAACAGGTCAAGCCATCATCAGTACCCCTTGACCCCGGTAATACGGACCTCTTGTGAAAGTGATCAGATCCTTTCCGGGATACAAACACAAATAAGGTCAACAGTGAAACCTCTATTTAGCGGACTATATAGGGGAGGAAAGTCCGTTATACCGAGGGTCAGTTAGATGTGAAACCCTCCATCTAACGGATTATGTGGAGGGAGAAAGTCCGTTATTTAGAAGTTTTACTGTACACATTTTCAGGTAAATAATTATGACACAGAGAACAACACAGGAGCCACAACACAACTGAATCATATAACACACACGAGTTAACGTCATGAGTCAGATGTATAATGAGTGTATGTTTGTCCTCACGATTAACGTCATGAGTCAGATGTATAATGAGTGTATGTTTGTCCTCACTAGTTAACGTCATACGAAAATGAGTTGTCCTCACATTAACGCGAGTCAGATGTATAATGAGTGTATGTTTGTGTCTCACTAGTAACGCCGAGCAGATGTATAATGAGTGTATGTTTGTCCTCACTATTAACGTCATGAGTCAGATGTATAATGAGTGGTGTTTGTCCTCACGAGTTAACGTCATGAGTCAGATGTATAATGAGTGTATGTTGTCCTCACGATTAACGTCATGAGTCAGATGTATAATGAGTATGTTTGTCCTCACAGTTAACGTCATGAGTCAGATGTATAATGAGTGTATGTTTGTCCTCACGAGTTAACGTCATGAGTCAGATGTATAATGAGTGTATGTTTGTCCTCACTAGTTAACGTCATGAGTCAGATGTATAATGAGTGTATGTTTGTTCACGATTAACGTCGTGAGTCAGATGTATAATGAGTGTATGTTTCCTCACGATTAACGTCATGAGTCAGATGTATAATGAGGGCGTTTGTCCTCACGATTAACGTCCGAGTCAGATGTATAATGAGGTATGTTTGTCCTCACGAGTTAACGTCATGAGTCAGATGTATAATGAGTGTATGTTTGTCCTCACGATTAACGTCATGAGTCAGATGTATAATGAGTGATGTTTGTCCTCACGAGTTAACGTCGTGAGTCAGATGTATAATGAGTGTATGTTTGTCCTCACGAGTTAACGTCATGAGTCAGATGTATAATGAGTGTATGTTTGTCCTCACGATTAACGTCATGAGTCAGATGTATAATGAGTGTATGTTTGTCCTCACGATTAACGTCATGAGTCAGATGTATAATGAGTATGTTTGTCCTCACTAGTTAACGTCATGAGTCAGATGTATAATGAGTGGTTTGTCCTCACTATTAACGTCATGAGTCAGATGTATAAGTGTATGTTTGTCCTCACGATTAACGTCATGAGTCAGATGTATAATGAGGTATGTTTTCCTCACGATTAACGTCATGAGTCAGATGTATAATGAGTGTATGTTTGTCCTCACTAGTTAACGTCGCGAGTCAGATGTATAATGAGTGTATGTTTGTCCTCACGAAACGTCATGAGTCAGATGATGAGGTATGTTCCTCACGATTAACGCTCAGATGAAGAGTATGTTTGTCCTCACTAGTTAACGTCATGAGTCAGATGTATAATGAGTGTATGTTTGTCCTCACGAGTTAACGTCATGAGTCAGATGTATAATGAGTGTATGTTTGTCCTCACGATTAACGTCATGAGTCAGATGTATAATGAGTGTATGTTTGTCCTCACGATTAACGTCATGAGTCAGATGTATAATGAGTGTATGTTGTCCTTAACAGTCAAGTATATTCCTCAGTTTGTCCTCACGATTAACGCATGAGTCAGATGTATAATGAGTGTATGTTTGTCCTCACGAGTTAACGTCGTCAGTGTATAATGAGTGTATGTTTGTCCTCACGATTAACGTCAATGAGTCAGATGTATAATGAGTGTATGTTTGTCTCACGAGTTAACGTCTTGAGTCAGATGTATAATGAGTGTATGTTTGTCCTCACGATTAACGTCATGAGTTAGATGTATAATGAGTGTATGTTTGTCCTCACGATTAACGTCATGAGTTAGATGTATAATGAGTGTATGTTTGTCCTCACGATTAACGTCATGAGTCAGATGTATAATGAGTGTATGTTTGTCCTCACGATTAACGTCATGAGTCAGATGTATAATGAGTGTATGTTTGTCCTCACGATTAACGTCATGAGTCAGATGTATAATGAGTGTATGTTTGTCCTCACTAGTTAACGTCATGAGTCAGATGTATAATGAGTGTATGTTTGTCCTCACGATTAACGTCATGAGTCAGATGTATAATGAGTGTATGTTTGTCCTCACGATTAACGTCATGAGTCAGATGCATAATGAGTGTATGTTTGTCCTCACGATTAACGTCATGAGTCAGGTGTATAATGAGTGCATGTATGTCTTCAGGCCAGCGTTCTACCTGTTCGTGGGGCTGCAGGGCTTGGCGGGGCTGGTGGCGCTCTCTGTAGACCTCAAGTTCAAGACGCCGTGTGAACAGATCATCAAGAACATCTGGATGCTGATGCACAACCCCGAGGTGCTCATGCTGTTTGTGGCCATGATGCTCGCTGGTAAGTCACTGACCTACTCCAGTCATTGTCATCATCATCATCATCAGTCATTGTCATCATCATCATCATCATCATCATCATCATCATCATCATCAACATAGCCTTGTTCTCCTCCACCACCCTAGCCTTCATTTCTACCATCATCATCACCAATCATCATCATCATCATCATAATCATCATCACCAGTCATCATCATCACCAGTCATCATCATCATCATCATTATCATCATCATCATCATCATAATAATCATCACCACCCTAGCCTCCATTATCATCATCACCACCACCACTACCAACACCATCACCACCACCACCACCACTACCAACACCATCACCATCATCACCACCACCACCACTACCAACACCATCACCATCATCACCATCACCACCACGACCAACACCATCACCACCATCATCACACCATCACCATCACACCACCATCATCATCATCACCACCACCACTACCAACACCATTACCACCATCACCACCATCACCAGCACCATCACCATCACCACCACCATCACCACCACCACCACCACCACCACTACCAACACCATCACCACCACCACCACCACCACACCACCACCACTACCAACACCATCACTACCATCACCACCATCACCACCATCACCACCACCATCGCCACCATCACCATCACTACCACCACCACCACCATCATCACCACCACCACCATCACCACCACCATCACCATCACCACCACACCACCACTACCAACACCATCACCACCACCACCACCATCACCACCACCACCATCACCACCACCATCACCATCACCATCACCACCACCACCACCACTACCAACACCATCACCACCACCCATCACCACCATCATCATCACCACCACCACCATCACCACCACCATCACCACACATCACCACCACCACCATCATCACCACCACCACCATCACCACCATCATCACCACCACCACCACCACCATCATCACATCACCATCCACCACCACCATCACCACCATCACACCACCACCACATCATCACCACCACCACCACCACCACCACACCACCATCACACCACCACCACACATCACCACCAACCACCACCACCATCACCACCACCACCATCACCACCACCATCACCACCACCAATCACATCACCCACCACCACCATCACCACCACCACCATCACCACCACCACCATCACCATCATCACCACCACCACCATCATCATCCCACCATCACCACCACCACCATCACCACATCACCACCACCACCACCATCATCATCACCACCATCACCACCACCACATCACCACCATCACCACCACCACCATCACCACATCACCACCACCACCATCATCCATCACCACCACCACCACCATCACCATCACCACCACCACCATCACCACCATCACCACCACCACCATGATTGACGTTGTTCACACCTTGTACAGGGGCGTTCTTCGGGTTCCTGGAGGCCTTCCTGTTCTGGTTCCTGGGTGACCTGGGAGCCTCTCGATCACTCATGGGTCTGACGGTGACGATGGGAGCCGCCTCAGCCATCCCGTTCCTCATCTTCATGTCCCCCATCGTCAATAAGTTCGGTCACATCGGTGTCATCGCTTCAGGGTTCCTTATGTATGCCATCAGGTTTGCAGGTAAAGTTCACACTCCCTCCCACCCCCCTTCTCTCCCTCCCTTCCCTCCCTCCTCCCTTCTCTCCCTTCCTCCCTTCCCTCCCTCCCTCCCTTCCACCTTCCCCTCTCCTCTTCACACATTTTTTTTCTCTCAGATAATGATTTATAATGATCACGGAGGCATCAGATTATATACAGCTACTCAAATGACTATCCTTATAAACTGGTCTTGAGATAATTTAACATAACGGACGAAGGATTTTACCAACCGTACCGAGACAACAGGAGTCGTAGTGTTCATTCTGAAAAAAATCATTGACTCAAGGTGTTAAGTCATCGTACTTAAGGGGTTCAAGTTCAAGCCATCGCACTCAAGGGGATAAGTCATCGTACTGAAGGGGTTAAGTCATCATACTCAAGGGGTCAATCCATCGCACTCAAGGTGTTAAAGTTCAGCTATCACACTCAAGGGGTTAAGTCACCACACTCAAAGGGTTAAGTCATCACACTCAAGGGGTTAAAGTTCAAGTCATCGTACTCAAGGTGCTAATTCCTCATACTCAAGGGGTTAAGTCATCATACTTAAGGGTTTAAGTCATCATACTCAAGGGGTTCAGCCATCATACTCAAGGGGTTAAGTCATCACACTCAAGGGGTTAAAGTTCAAGTCATCGTACTCAAGGTGTTAATTCCTCATACTCAAGGTGTTAAGACAACATACTCAAGGTGTTAAGTCATCGTACTCAAGATGTTAACATTGCTCGATATCTTTCAGGCTACGCGTCCATCTATGACCCGGTGAGCGCCCTGTACTTCGAGGCGCTGGAGGGAGTCACCATAGGCCTGATGCTGTCGGCGGGGATGACCTACGCCAGCGAGCTCTGCACCACCAAGAACATCGTCTCCCTGCAGGCCCTCTGTGGCACCCTCTACTACGGTGTGGGTGAGTCAACAGGGGGAGATGGGGTGAAGGGGAGAAGATGGGGGAGAGAGGGTAGAGGAAGCAGGTAGAGGGGAGTAGGGAATAGGATTGAAGGACAGAGGGGAGAAGGAGGATAGGATTGAGGGAAAGAGGATAGAGGGGAGGAGGTGGAGGAAAGGGGATAAGTTGATGGTAGGGAGGGGAAGAGAGAGGAAAGGGAAGTAGAAAGAGGGTAGATAGTAAGATACGCTGTAATACTGAGTCTTAACATACATAACACTGTACAGTCAATGTTTCATATGGGTGTGTGTGTGTGTGTGTGTGTACTATTATTATTATTATTTTTAAGGTGTGTAATACCAGAAGGTTGACGGTGAAGGTAGGACTAATTAAAAACTGGGTCACCATGAACACCGTCTTGGTCCCGCCCTCCTTTTGCTGCCTACACCTGTCTCGACACGTCCGCCTCCTTCCCTACACACACACTAAACTACCTGACACATCATCCCAACAAGCAGTAATCCTTCACACCTCAATGTCACATACAATAGAAAGTGTTGACGTGAAAACAATCTTCTTTTTTCCCTTGAATGTAATTTTTTTCTTCAACAATTATAAACAAAGTTGAAAAAATGTCACTAGCATAGAGGTAAGGACAGACACTCAGTCCCACCACACACCATACCCTCGACCACACCCTACCCTCGACCACACCCTACCCTCGACCACACCCTACCCTCCACCACACCCTACCCTCCACCATACCATCATTAAATCCAAGTTTATATCCACCATTAGCATTATCGTCCCCGTGCCTCGTCACATTCTGATGGCGTAGTGGTAGAGTAGGGTAGGAAGGTATCTCTACCCAGTATATACGAGATACTTAGCAAACAGCTGTAAGAATCATTCATGACTTCACGGTGTAATATCTATGATAAAGATCACCTGAAGATTAAACACCCTAACTTTTTTCACCTTAAGATTTACCAGCGTAAAGGATACCTAACCTAACCTAACCTCACCCCCAGGTAGCGTTAAGGTGTTTTAAAATCAGGTGAAATAAGCTGAGGTGCCTATAATCTACACGAGAGCCTATGATAATTATATACAAAACAACTCCCTTTGTAGATCTGTATATAATAGATAAGAACCCACTAAAACAACTCCAAAAGTATGATATAATTATACATAAAATGGTTTCCTATGTATAATTATTGTGTTGGTGACCATTACGATTATAGTAAATAAAATGTGTTCTTTTATCATCATTGTTGTGGTATAATGTGATAACGTACACACACAGGTAAAGGAATGGGCAGCGTGGTGGGCGGCTACATGTACTACCATCTAGGGGCCCGTAAGACCTTCAGGATGATGACTGTGGCCAGCCTCCTCAGCGCCATCATCTTCATCATCTTCCACATTTACATCCAACACCGCAATCGTCGCCGTGAACGTTATCGTGCAGAGAAGGAGAACCTACTGGAGGACGACGACATGGAGATCATCCAACTGGCGATCTCCAAAGCCAAGAAGAAGAAAGGAGAGAAAGAAAGCAAGAAGAGGAAGACACGCAAGGAAGGCAAGAGAGGAAGTATCCAAGTCGACACCAAAGAAAACGGAATATTCGAGCTCCGACGGGTGACTCTGATAGATGTGGAAACTCAAACTGAACCCGTCCAGTTCACTGCCGCCATCGCTACCCCAGAGACTGACGACGATAGCGAAAACGATGAAGAAGCAGAAGAGAGGGACATGGCGGAATAATATACCTGTGAGACAAACAAACATTCAGCATGATCAGCAAACTGTCTGACATGTTTATTATTATACGAGTATAGATAAACACACACACACACACACACACACACCATTCCTTGTTAGCGAGTACTGATTGGCTCCAGAAGTAAATGTCTTTGTAATTATGAACCGTAAATTAAGCTGGAACCATAATGTATTCTATAATTATGTCTAGCTTGTGTGTGTGTGTGTGGGGCAAAGATAAAGAAAGACACATACTTTTTTATATAATTCATGATCTGTAATATTTTTTTCTGTTGTCATTCATCATCTAACTGTTGGCCGCGTTACGGTGTGGCACTGAGGGGAACAAGGCCATTAATGAGATAAACTTAACTAAATGGCCACTTCAAATACAGATGGCCAAGCGGGGGGGGGGGGGAGGGTAAAGGGTGGAAGGTGGGACATGGGAAGGGGAAAAAGGGAGACATTGAATTTATAATGTACAAATAACTGCTTACTGTTTGGCCATACCTAACTGTGGCTCAACTTCTCCCGCCATTATAATATGTACAGTAAACCTTTGAGTCAATATTCATCTAAATCATTTCGTGTCGTATGTCCCTGTATTGCGTTAATGCTTCCTTGTCTCTTTGTCTGTCGATGTTCGTTGCCTCTGTTATAACACACCGTATCGTTATCTGGTCAATAATATAAAATAACCACAATCTTAAAACCTAATTGCAAACATCTTGGTGAAATATTTAATTGTATTTCCAGTTTGGTTTAAGTCGATGGTATCTTGGTTTAAGTCGACTGTAAGACATGTTCCACGAGCTATTTAGGAGTATCTCGACGAGCTATTTAAGACTATCTCAAGCTCTTTTGGGTATATATAAACAAGAGCTGTAGACACGCGACAAAAATTAACTACAGATCCGCTACAATTTTTTTTATTATGTAGAAAACTTGACCTCCAACGACTGTAGATTCCTGATGCTGTTATAACCGATAGCGAGGTGTTGTGTCTTAGCTGTTGGTATCATTATATTTGTGCTCCTATACTCTGTGCTGTTAATACCAAACTTTATACAGATAGATGACCATGAGGGGTGAGAGGTGAGGAATGAGAGGTGAGGAGTGAGAGGTGAGGAGTGAGGAATGAGAGGTGAGGGGTGAGGAATGAGAGGTGAGAGATGAGGAATGAGGAGTGAGAGGTGAGGAATGAGAGGTGAGGGGTGAGGAATGAGAGATGAGGAATGAGGGGTGAGGAGTGAGAGATGAGAGGTGAGGAATGAGAGGTGAGGAGTGAGAGATGAGAGGTGAGGAATGAGAGGTGAGGGGTGAGGAGTGAGAGATGAGAGGTGAGGAATGAGGGGTGAGGAGTGAGAGGTAGGTGTGTAGGTACTTGGGGTATAAAGATGACGGTGGCTTTAAGTGGGGTTTGCAGTCTCCCCCATCTATTCATACGAACATACCCATGAGGCATGATGTGGTGGTATAATGAGGTATGGTGTGGCGGTATGAGATATGGTGTGGTGGTATAATGAGGTATGGTGTGGCGGTATGAGGCATGATGTGGTGGTATAATGAGGTATGGTGTGGCGGTATGAGATATGGTGTGGTGGTATAATGAGGTATGGTGTGGCGGTATGAGATATGGTGTGGTGGTATAATGAGGTATGGTGTGGCGGTACGAGATATGGTGTAGTGGTATAATGAGGTATGGTGTGGCGGTATGAGATATGTCGTGGTGGTATAATGAAGTATGGTGTGGTTGTGTAGTGTATGGTGTGGTTGTGTAGTGCATGGTGTGGTGGTATAATGAGGTATGATGTGGTTGCACAGTGTATGGTGTGGTGGTATAATGAGGTATGATGTGGTGGTATAATGAGGTATGGTGTGGTTGTATAGTGTGGTGATATTAGTTAGATAATGAATTAATTATTTTGATCGTGGCAGTGAGAGGTGTTGTGGTTAGTCTTCCAGCACAGGTACAGCCAGCCAGCCATTCTGAGTACTGCACTGGCTGGTAAAGAAGTATTAGTTAAACTATGGTACGTTAGTGACAGGTTAGGCTATAATGACATTGTTTGGTTGTATGTAACACTCGCTCCAAACAAGTATCTTTACGTTTTTATGTTGAGATAATATGACGCGACGGATGAAGGCTTTTGACAATCCTACCGAGACAACAGGAGTCGTAGTGTTCATTTAGAAATTCATGGGACCGCCCGTAATGGTACGAGTGAGTGTGGGCAGACAGACAGACAGACTGACTACCAGCCCAACCCTCTCCTCCAACTGCTTCCCTTCTTCATAATGCTAATTATTTAAGGTAATATTTCAGTTTTGCCTGAAACCGTCACTGGCTCACAAGTCACAGACCATAACTAGTTCATAAGTCACTCAAAAGCCACTATTACTGTAGGTCACTGGTCACTGCGAGGTAACAAGTAACATGTATATAGACACTGTTGGGCCGCTGATCACTGCTGGCCACTGGTCACTATTCACTGCTGGGCCACGGGTCACTGTTCACTGCTGAGCCACTGGTCACTGCTACATAACAACCTCAAGATAAACAGCACAGTGCCACAAGTCACCACCATTGCTCAGCCACACACCGCCACCTTCATTATCCCCTCCTTAGAGTTACTGACGAAGTACCATTTAATATTATCTATGTTAGTGTCATCTTACAACAACTTCTCCCCGGCTCGTTGTGTGTGATAAACTTGACCACAACAGCTGACATCACTTTAATAACATAACCATATATCCACAAACCTAACCATAACAACTTTAGTGTGCTGTAAATAGTTAGATAAGACAGACACATTATATAACAGCCTCGGGATCAAAGCTTACTCATAATCATTATTTTTATTACCATTTTGGAAACATTATGTATAGGTACTGATATGTTTACAAGAGGGAGAGGCAAGGTGTACATATTGTTGGGAGTTGGTGTCACCCGCCAGTGAGGTAGAGACTAGAGAAACACATCCATCTATGACCTCTTGACCTCGTGACCTCTTGACCCCGAGATGTAACCCTGATCTTCCAATATAGACCTGAAATGAGTGTTGTTGACTTATATTTAGACCTATGATGTGTGTAGCTGGCGAGTCACCACACCTGTCAACAACAATGTGTGTGAGAAGACAGCCACATGTAGTCTGTCTATTGAGGGTGTGTTAGACAGGTGTTAAGGCTAGACTAAGACACCTTCAGGAACACCTTTATACACAGACAGGCACGAGAGACCCGGGTAAATAAGTTGGTCTTCCATGAGTGTACAAAAGTGAATCATAAATGTGTGTAAATTGCCATTACTCCCTGTGTGTGTTGAGGCTTTGTAGGTAAGCAAGAACAGTCTCATATCCTCATCCGTGTGTGTGTGTGTGTGTGTGTGTGTGTGTGTGTGTGTGTGTGTGTGTGTGTGTACTAGTGATACACAACAAAACAATAGTTGTAGTACAGTACAGTAAATTCTTCTATGTGCATGTTTCGTCCATTGTCCGTCAAACAAAACTGCAGTACAGTATTCTGCAACAAATGTACTGTAATTAACTGTTTTGTATTCACAGAGGCCAATATAGTTTTTATTTTATGAAGGAACGTATATTAGTGTTTTTATTAAGGGCATGTGAGTATTACAGCACCTGTACACAACACGAAGCTACAACCTATGATAATAATTCACAGCTGCCGTCACCAGACATCAGGTAGCCAGAGGAAGGTGGCAGGTGCAGTGTTGTCAAAACTGTGTACTGTAGGTGAGGGCCGATGAGGCAGTGTAGGAGTTAACGCCACACTACATGACGTCATTATAACACCTGTTGCTGGAAGTCTGTTATATATAAATAATGTTCCCGGAGTTTAATTCTTAATAATAAAGATAAAAACAAAACACGAGAAGTGGAGAGAGAAACAAACTGATAATAAAAGTGTAGAGTTTCAGTCAAATAACAATAAACAATAATACTAATAAATTCAGTCAGTGTGGATGAACGTTATGTACCGCTACAAGACGTAAACAACAGAGGGTGCACCACGGTACACTCAGGTGCACCCCATACAGGTACACAAGTTACCATCAGTTCTCTGCCACTTCTCTTGACGAAAACCTTGACCAGAACTAATGACATATACAGTGTTTGTTTATCTTCCGTCAGTCCTGTAAGCTTCATGGCAGCAGCGTTTCCTTATAACACACATACAGTCGTGCAGAAACCTTAATATATGTTGCACGTATCATGTTGACATACACACAGTGACGTCATGTGTGCTCAGGCGTGAACTCGTACAAGTCTCATAAGTGTTACACCATAAGAGACATAGTGAGGCTTCGTCACAACTTAATAGGTCTGCCAGGGAGCTTTATTAATCAGGCTTATCTAATTGAATAATACTCAAATTATATATATTTAATAATTATGTAGTTTCCAAAATTCAAGGAATTCACTAATAATAAGGTCAGTCATGACTTTGTTAGGCAGGATACACCGAGAAAATAAAAAATATTATATACAGTATGTAACAATTGTTTAAATTTTACAAATAAACTTTAGTCAATGATGTACGTTGTGCTTTTAATGATAACCTGGTGATAACACACACACACACACACACACACACACACACACACACACACACACACACACACACACACACACACACTTTAGGAAGGTCTTTAGTTGGCTTCTTGAGAGACGATGGGAAAGAAACACATTTAAAGGCTTGAGAAAAGTGACTAACTGGAGGAGAAGTAAAGGAGAGATGAGGAAGGGAGGAAGAGGTGAGGAAAACGGAGATGGGAGGGAGGAAGGAAATGAGTGACATTTGTAAGAGGAGGGGATAGGGAAGGGCGCGAGAGGAGCAGGAGGAAAAAGGGGATGAGAGGAATAGGAGAAAGATGAGAGGAAAACGGAAGAATGGGAAAAGAGAGAGAGAGAATGTATGTGTGTGTGTGATGACGTATAGAAGGAGCTGAAAGTGAAAGGAGAGTGGGGGAGGGAAGAAGGGGGAGACGAGGGAGAGTGAGTGGGAGAGTTGCCAGAGTGAGAGTTGACGTGTATGTGAAGAGGAAGAGGAGGTGGGGAGGAAGAAGAGGTGAGGAAAGAAAAGGAGGAGGAGGAAGGGGAGTAGGAAGGAAAGGCGTGAGGAGCAGGTGAGAGAGGAGGAGGAGATGAAGGAAGGAAGAGGAGGTGAGGCAGGAGGAAGAGGTGAGGCAGGAGGAGGAGGTGAAGGAGATTTTTTAGATTGCCCACGAGGGGGCTAGTTTATTGGGCACCCCTTACATCCTGTGCAAGGTGAAGCGTTTACAGCGCCCAACAGGGAAGCTTGCTAAGTTCATGCTTACCTTTATGAGTCATGCATTAGGGCGTAAAGCCTGAAGGGTCATAGGTTTTGTCAGCAAGTTACAT